CCGGGCACGGAGGGCAGTTGGGCACAGAGGGCAGTTGGGCACAGAGGGCAGTTGGGCACAGAGGGCAGTTGGGCACAGAGGGCAGTTGGGCACAGAGGGCAGTTGGGCACAGAGGGCAGTTGGGCACAGAGGGCAGTTGGGCACAGAGGGCAGTTGGGCACAGAGGGCAGTTGGGCACAGAGGGCACGGTGGTTGAGAAAGGGAAGATGCGAGAAAGGAGCAGAGCAGCAAGGAACAGAACGGCAGAGGATGGCACAGTGCAGCGAGCAGCAGAGCGACAGAGGAAGGAGCACAGAGAGCGTGCCTTGACCACGCCAGCTTGCAACCGTACCTCTTTAAGTGTCGGTATTTGCAGCCCCTTCCCTCTGTACGGGAATGTCTTGCCACCATCCCGCGTAAAGTGATACCCAGCATCCAATGACCTGATGACACGTGGACGGGAAGGGGAAGAGGGGTGAAGAGGAGAACTAACAATTCGTGTACCATCTCACGCAACTACTCGACTCGCCTGAACTGTCACCTTAACTGTCACCTGAACTGTTACCTGAGCTGTCACCTGAACTGGCACCTGAACATTCACCTGGAATTTCACCTGAGCTCCTCCAGCGTGTAGCTCTCCACCAGCCCGCTGCCATCTGTCGTGTCGTCCACCGTCACATTGTGAATCAACACCTGCCACGCGCCCAAACCAACAAAGTCAACAAAGTCAACAAAGGCAACAAAGATTGCAACGCCAACGGCGCCTAAGTCAACAAAACCAAGGAGCTTCAACGAGTCCCAACAGGTCCAAGGGCTCCAGGTCCAGAAACTCAATAGGCCAACAACGCCAAGTCAACAACACGAAGGAGCCTCAATGAGTCCGGGGGGTCCAGGTCCGGAAACTCAAGACAACGAGTCTCCACAGCCCAAATTATTCCAAGACTCAGCGCCTCACCAGCTGTTGGTACGCGGTCAGTTGCACGTCCACTTCCATCTGCGAAGCAGGGTCTAAGCAGTGTCTACGCAGTGGCGACGGAGAGGGAGCAGCATAAGCGGAGCGGAACCGGCAGCAGCTTGAGGAAAAAGAAGAATGTCTCACCAGCTGCTGGTCCTTAGTCAGCTGCACGTCCACTTCCAACAGCTGCGTGCGAAGCAGAGGCACAGCGGCAACAGCGGGGGAATCATCAGACGCACGGCCTGCAGCAGCAGCATCAGCAGCATCGGAATGGCGTCCAACGCCAGCCTCCTCCCCAGGTGCAAAACCATCACCACTGAGCCTGCTCGTGCAGCCGCTGCGTGCTCTGCTGCTGTTGACTGCGACGGCCGACGCACTGCCAAGAGCACTAGAGCCAGCAGCATCAACGGCAGCAGCATCAACGGCAGCAGCATCAACGGCAGCAGCATCAACGGCAGCAGCATCAACGGCAGCTGCACTGCGGTATGCCAGCATGGTGTTCTCGGGCCATGCTCTGGCGCCACCCCTGGGAGAGAGAGAAGCAATCAAGGGATGGAGAGATGGCAACACACACGGAACAGTGACGGGTCGCACGCAGCCGTCCTTGAGAATTCTCATACGGGGGAGACGACGAGCCCACGGCTCGCACGCACTGTTGCTGTAATTCGTTTCTGGACGTGGATGGCCATATGCATGAGGAACGCCCATCGGCGTACCCGTGGCTCGCGTGGACCGGGCGGCGCAGCAGATTGATAACCGTGGGAAAGTCGTTTGGTTAGGTAAGTCGTTTGGTTGGGTAAGTCGTGGATAACCGTGAGACGTCTCAAAACGTACCTGTGACTCGCGTGGACCGGGCGGCGTCTAAGCAGCAGCTTGATAACGGGGTGCGTCTCGGGCCCGAAAGGCACGTCGCGTCGCAAGAACCTCTCGTATAGCGGCTTCAGTACGAGGTAAAACGTGGCCGCGACTGCTGCCGTCCCGCCGGCCACGAGGACAGCTGTCGACAGCCAATCGGTCCCACCGCCACTGGCGGAGATATCGGAATTTGGCATCGACGCTTTGCGCGGCTCCACGGGATGATCAAACGGAAAAGAACGGAAAAGATAAAACGCCAGGCCGAATCAGGATCGCCGTTTACGAGTGAACGGTTCCGAAGCGGATCTATACTTTCTGCAGATTCTAGTCCCAGGAAGTGAGGCAACTCAGATTCGAGCGAGAGAAGACACCAGTGGTGTCAGGAAGCCCAGCGGCCTAATTCCAGTGAGGCGGATCTTTGAAAATTTCCCAAGACAGCATAGCCAAGGCGAACTGCTGTGACACGCCAGAGGAACACCCTTGCCATGAACTCTCAGATAGCTAGCTCATCGGAACTACTCAGTCGAGACTCGTGACTCAAGAACTGCCCAAGGACTCAACTTGGCCATGTGGATGCTCCCAGAATATTCCCCTCTCGTTGCCGCGCTGCCGCCTCGTCACGTTGCGGTCTTGTGGCGTGGCGTTGTCGCATAATTCGCCTAGAAGTCCCCCTCTAAAACTTGGATGATATTCCGTACAGTGGATCCATTTAATACAGGACACACGTATGGTTGTATGCATAAAAAATTTCAAACCACATCCGCATCCCACGTTGTGCATCTGTTGCGTAGCGAGCCATCCCCTCTACCACCGGCCTCATTGTCTTCAACTTCTCTACTGGCACATATTTCTTCCGTAAAGCTTGAGCCATGTGGGTCATGCGCCCCAGTGCAAGCCATAGGCGCATGAAGAAACACTGTAGCCTTCATGCATAGTAGCTTATCAAGGATGGCCTGTTGAAAACCAAAAAGCAGCAATCATCAAACGTGATGCCTATGAGATGAGTCGCATGCGAATGGTGGGGAATGGGATCGACAATAACAGACTACCATAGGAATGGCAGACGTAACGAGACATGCGACCACTTAATCTTACCTGCTACCACCAGGTCTTAAAGCCCAAAGCTAAAATAGCTAAGGCAGGCCCAATTTGAAAGAGAGAGCTGCAAAAATCGACTAAGTGTTGTGGCCCTCTGTTTTTAGTCCGAAACGGCACTGTTCCGAAAGTGCATTTGGCATGCGTAAGAAAATGCAATGATCGTGCGTGATTGGCGCAAAATGGAGAGCACTCGCTCATAGCACGCAATTCGACGCGCAGAACTGCATGAACTTTCGTTCTTGCAGCGACATCCCAGTCACGACGTCGCAACGACGAGCGTGACGTGCAATTGACGCAGGCGACGCGCACACCGGAGATGGTCGTTTGCACGACTCTCAATCGCAGAAGTGGGCTGGGCCCAGGCTGTTTGCTGTTTTAGCTTGGGGCTTTAACTGCAAGCCTGTATCTATCTGGAGACAGCAACCCAGGCATTGGAGGCGCGTCACGAAGTAGTAAGCCACTGAATAAAGCTCACCTGCACGCCCGTATCCAGCTGAGGCACTGAGGGGTCCACAGCAGCCCATGTGATCGGATGGAGCTCCTCATGCAGCAGCTGAAGGACCATGGGGTGCGGTGAAGGGGAGAGTGCATGCAAGTGTGTGTGTGAGAGAGAGGGGGAGAGAGGGGGAGGGAGGGGGGCAGCAGCGAGAGCCCATGCAGAGAGGTCTGGAGCAGCCCATGTGATTGGATGACGCTCCTCGTGAAGCAGCAGCTGCGCAGCAGCGGGAGTGTGGTGAAGAAGCCAGAGGGAGGGCGCTTGGGAACGTCACCATGAGCAGGGTTCACACAAATGAATAACAATCTGCAGATGTTCCTGTAACGAGGTGCACTAATCAATCAGTATTATCTCACCTGCACAGTTCTCAAAGCGAGGTCCCTGTGCTCCTTGCTGAGAACAGTGAACGAGTTGGACATCCACCTGGGGGGGTGGGGCAGAAAAGGAGAGACAACGAGACATGGGAGAGGAGAGTAATAGGACAGACTGTTAGGGCGTGTGGCAAGTGCGATCACAGTGATTCTCCGCTCCCATCGTCCGGTCGGTTACCTCTGTACCTCTCAACAATTGTTTTGTAACAAAACAAATCACACTGTACCGCACTGTACAAGACCTCCGTTCCAGTCCCATCGTTTCGACTTCTACTTGCCACACGCCCTTAGCAAGCATAACAAGGCGCACCACAGGTTCCTAGTGGGTTGGGGAAGGAGAGGAGAGCATAGCGGCAATGAGGCAGACTCTACCCAAGCATAACCAGCACTCTGCAAGCACCACAAGGCGCACCACAGGTCCCTGCGCTCCGTGCTGAGCACCGTGCACGAGTTGGGCATACACCTGATGGCAGGGATGGATGGTCAGAAGAAAGGAGAGCAACGGGGCAACGAGGCACAGTTCACCCACGCGCCCACCCACCCACGCGCCCACACCCACCCACGCGCCCACCCACCCACGCACCCACCCGCCCTTGGAAGCAAGCACAAGAAGGCCCACCACCAATCCCCCTGTGCTCCCTGCTGAGCACCGATAATTTATCAGCCACACAGCTGATGCCATGAACCAGCCACGCAGCTGATGCCATGAACCAGCCACGCAGCTGATGCCATGAACCAGCCACGCAGCTGATGCCATGAACCAGCCACGCAGCTGATGCCATGAACCAGCCACGCAGCTGATGCCATGAACCAGCCACGCAGCTGATGCCATGAACCAGCCACACAGCTGATGCCATGAACCAGCCACGCAGCTGATGCCATGAACCAGCCACGCAGCTGATGCCATGAACCAGCCACGCAGCTGATGCCATGAACCAGCCACGCAGCTGATGCCATGAACCAGCCACGCAGCTGATGCATGACCGCCACACAGCTGATGCCATGAACCAGCCACGCAGCTGATGCCATGAACCAGCCACGCAGCTGATGCCATGAACCAGCCACGCAGCTGATGCCATGAACCAGCCACACACCTGTCATCCGGAGTCAGATCTGTTGCCAGAAACACCGCCAGCGTTTTTCCACCTCCCTTTTCCTTCCTGCCCCCATCCCCTCCTCCTCCTCCCCTGCCGCCCCCCATACCCACCGTCCTCGCCCACCCCCTCACACTCGCCAGCAGCCCCCGCGCACACGCTGCCAGCTGCTGCGCCCTCACTCCCGCCCTCAGCGCCTTCTCCAGCCGCCAGTGCGCCGCCAGAAACAATGCGCCCCCTCCTTGACTTCCTTGACTTTCTTGACCATTTGTGCCCCCCCCGTTTCCATTCATCGCCCCACCTGCTTGGAAATTCTTCGTTATAAAGTGATCTGCTACAAGGTGCAGGTGCGGTGGGTACACCAGGGCCCTCTGTGCCTTTGATGCCAGCCGGCCTATCCGGGAGAGACACATCAGTGGCGACGACTTGAACACCACCGCCACGTCAGCATTCCGATCGGGCTCTTCGCCAGTAATAGTCTCTTCCTTGCTACCTTCTATTTCTCGCCCTTCCTTCCCTTTCTTCCCCTCCACCTCTTCCTCGCCTCCCCTACTTCCCAGGGCCACCATCGGCTCTTCCCCTGGCAGCACTGTAGCATCTCTGTCCTTTACCAGCAGGTCCTCGGCTCCGGGCGGCTTGGCTCGGCGTTTAGTGGTGCAGGTGCGGGTGCAGAGGGCGGGAGAGAGGAGGGCGCGGTTAAGGAGGAGAGAGGCATTGGAACGAAGCTCGGCATTGGGCTGCAGGCCGGGCGTGTTGGTGTTGCGCCCGACCTTAGCGTAGGACGCTCTCTACTGGAATGGAAGAGGGGGAAACGGGGGGGGAAAGGGGGGAAGGGGTGGCGGAGGGGGAGAGGAGGGCGCGGTTGAGGATGAGGGAGGCATTGGAACGTAATGTAGGGTTGGGCTGCAAGCCCGGAGTGTTGGTGTTGAGACCAATCTTGGCGTGGGATGTTTTCTACTGGAAAGGAAGAGGGGGAAAAGGTTGGGAGGGGGAGAGGAGGGCGCGGCTTAAGAAGGGATGGGCGGAATGAAGGGATGGGCGGAATGAAGGGATGGGCGGAATGAAGGGATGGGCTGGAGCCCGGGGGTGGTGGTGTTGCGACCGATCTTAGCATAAGATACCTACTATGGGAGAGGACGGAACGGGGGAGGGGGAGATAAGGGGAAAAGGAGAGACAAGAGGCGGAAAGGGGGAGCACCAAATGCAATTCGAGGCGGCTCACCTCAAGGCATGGAGAGACGGGGATGGGGGGGGGGCGCGGGGGGAAGGGCGAGGCGGGAGACTTCTTACCATGAGACAACGGACTTCTCACCTGAAGCCGCACACAAGCGCGCCTACCTGGCCATCCATGACCCCCACCACACGAAACGAGAGTGGCACCCCGTGGCCCCCTGTGGCACCCCGTGGCCCCCTGTGGCCCCCCGTGGCCCCCGTGGCCCCCGTGGCCCCCGTGGCCCCCCCTGGCCCCCCTGGTCCCCCATGGTCCCCCCTGGCCCCCGTGGCCCCCTGTGACCCCCGTGCCCCCCGTGCCCCCCGTGGCCATCCGTCAGCACGAATGACTGAGCCCGTCGTCATGCAACAGCTCACCCTGACCTGCACCCTGACCTGCACCCTGATCTGCACCCTGATCTGCACCCTGATCTGCACCCTGATCTGCACCCTGATCTGCACCCTGATATGCACCCTGATATGCATTCTAGATAAACCCCGGGCTGAGTCAAGGCCTGGGCAGGCACCCCAAGCCATGGGCCGGCTGTACGAATGCCACGCCCCCTTGCCCCGTTCTCGCTTCCCCGTTCCTGCCATCCCCCAGCAGCATCGCCACCACTCTCCATTCCATATATACACCTATATACCCAACGCCGTTACACCCATTATCACCCCTGCATACCCCCACCACGTCACATCCCTACCACAGCATCATACCTACCTACCACATCTCATTCCTTCATCTTGCTATCCCCCAACACCAGCACTCCCTTCCCCACCCACCGCATCACACCCCTTATCACCACACCACACCCACCACGTCACAAGCCTTCATCTTATTATCTCCCAGCACCAGCGCCACCACACTCCCCTCCCCTCGCCCTGCTGCCTGCCACGCCGGCACCACCTGCCCATAAAAAAACTCCTCCGAGACCCACGGCACAAACTGCCCGAGGCTGCCCGGGTCGAAATAAGTGCAGAAGGGGAAGGCATAATCTGCTACAGTGCCGATCCGGCTGTTGCCAACGGACGGCAGGATGAGGGTGCGACCTGCATGGAGCGCCACAGATAGCACCTCCCCCAAGTGCAGCCGAGCCTTGCTGAGCTGCTCGTAGAGGCGACCCACGGATATGAACTTGGCGGATAGTAAAGAGGCTGGGAGGAACAGAAAAGGTACGGCAAGGGGAAGTGGGGTGGGGGGGGGAGGAGGAGGGGGGGAGGGGGGAAAAAGGGGGGAAAGGGGGGGTCGGGGAAGGGGAGTGGGCGAGCTCGTGTATTAGAATGCTCGTGTATTAGAAAGTACGGCGTTTCGTAGAGGCGAACCACTGATATGACATTGGCGGTTGAGAGAGAGGCTAAGCGACATTGATGTGGGGGAGAGGAAAGGGGAGGGGAGGGGGGAGGAAAGGAGACGGGGGGGGTGGGGGAGAATGGATGTGCACGTGTACTCACAGGGATCGATGCTGTCAGAGTATGAAAGGAACGTCATTTTCCCGTAGGTGATTTTTTAGTTGACTTAAATATCACACGAGAGGGGCCGCAAGTCGACTCACAGGGATCGAAGCTGTCAGAGTAAGGGCGAGACGCCATTTCCTGCGGACAAGTGTATGAAAGCGGCGAAAATTCCGCGAAGCCGTCATTGCCTGCTCCCGCTCCTCCCCCATCTGACTCGCTGGACGAATCTCCGCCCTGCGCTGCAACGAGCTGGTGTTTTACATCGAATGGTGGTCCTATAACGAGGATGGCTGGGATCAGAATAACGGCGGCCTGAAGGCGCAGAAGAGATCGGCGAAGAGTGGACATTACGAGTTGCTTCCACTGGTTGAAGACGACTTTTGAAGTCACGAGTTACGACTTTAGACGTCACTTTAGACACTTCAAAAAGTGGGCATAACGAGTTCCTGACACTGGTTCAAGAGGAAGACTACTACTGTAAACACGAGGAAGCTAAGCGAGGCCTATCACGACAGTATGCCGTTCTAAGGCGGCCGCGACCGCGATTCCTTAATACTGCTGTAGGCCAAGCGGTTACCAAACGGTCTCTATTTGTATGCCCGAGGCCGTTGGCCTCGGTTGTCACACTACTACGTGTTGGAATGCGGCAACCTTCATCAGGCAGCGAACACAAGACGATCAACCAATCATCCAGCCTTCGTCGGCCTTAGAGGTGGGTCAACACAAGACCATCAGCCTCGAGTAGCTGGCTGATCATTGATCTGATCAATCAATATGTAGGATCAGCTGCAGGATAATTTGAGGGAGTGTTCCTGTCGGCACCAGGTTCTGAGTAGCGTTTACTGTGAGTCGGGAGGAACTGGAAGTCGGGAGACACTGGAAGTCCAAAAACGGAATTGAATTCCGCAATAGAACCGAAGCTTGAAATCCCCAAATTCACGAGGCAGTTCAGCAGCACCCGGGTGTCAATTCTCGAGATTCATATGAGACGAACCTGAAATTTATTTGACACCTCGGTTTGTTACATTTAAACGCATGTTATTTTCTGGTTAAAAATCTGCATGTCACGGAGCTATGGACACTCCTTAGTCAGCCCGCCTGTTTCTAATTTCTGGGGTCTGCTCACTGCAGCGCAGAGCTAATCAGAATTGTGCGACTTGCTCCACGGCATTCCCTAGCTAGTAGTATATTATTTGGGAGCAACGAGTTGACTATTCGGGAGAACACGTTATACCTGAGCATCTTCTCCCCATCGCGGCTTTCGCCTCCGCCTCACAGCTGATCTAGAATTTACCGCAGCGAATATTTCCGCTGCCTCCCAGTTACAACCGGAGTACTTCGCAGCACCAGAGACTGTTACGCTTTCACGCAAGCGCACCAAGTGTTGTCGCTAGTCGCGAAGTCGTGAACTCCCTAGGTCGCATGGGCATGGCGGACGCAGGGTCTCTGAGGGAGCAGGCGAAGGAGCTGATCGACCGTCGCGACAAGCTCGAGGCTCAGATCGACGCGATCGCTGCGAGATTGAACGCGCCTGGCGGTGGCGGAATCAGGGAGAGCCTGGTGGATAAAGAGGTGGGGATTTTAGTTCGTGAGGCTTAACGAAATTCCAAGGGGATTGGAAGTGACTGAGAGCTGATGAATTGCCGCGGCAAGCTCGAGGCTCAGATCGATGCGAGATTGAACGCGCCTGGCGGTGGCGGAATCAGGGAGAGGCTGGTGGATAAGGAGATGGGGAGGGATTAGTGGAGTAGGGTTTGTTTCTTTGTACTGGAATATTATGAGGAGCCTGGAGTGAAGGGAAGCCGTGTTGTGGCAAAGCACAACGCGAGTTCTTCTTCGCAGGGCACATTCGCTTGAAAGGCCTTTGGTCACTTTTGCACACGAAGCGAGGCGAGCAAGCCAGTGTCACCAGCGTCACGAATTCCCCACTCTCTCTTCTTCCCCACTCCCCCTTCTTCCTCACTCTCTCTTCTTCCCCACTCTCTCTTCTTCCCCACTCCCTCTTCTTCCTCACTCTCTCTTCGTCCACCACTCTCTCCTTTACCTCAGGGCTTTCCACGGGCCGACATTGACATTCCTAAAGTCCGCACCGACAGGCACCGCCTCGCAAGTAATGCCCTCGAAACCTCCTCCCTCTGGTCTCAGCCTTGCCAATGCGGTTTGGGACACTGCAGTCCATGCTCAACTCATGTGCTTCATGTGCGCTTTTGCAGTTTGCTTGCGACCTTGTACTCCGTACTCCTGTGCCCTTTTGAGAAGTCTCACCTGTCCTCACTCCGCCCCAGCCTTGCAAGCTGTGCCTCATGTGCCCTTGCTGGACTGATTCCTTGGCACTTCTGAATTTCCCACCGTTCTGTACATTACCCTAACACTTTCGTATACCCACCCTCCTCCTATATGCCATCTTACTGGTTTCCCAATGCTTCCATTTAACTACCGCTTAATCGCAGCGCTCCACGCGGACCACAAACAGCTGACGGGGCAGATTGAGTCGCTGCTGCTGCAGATCCACGCGCAGGCCAAACCTAAGGAACAGACAAGGGCAAGCACCGAGGCGGTAACCGCACGGACTAGCCATGAGCCATCGGCCTCCACTCCTCCAACAACAAATGCCACTGAATCTGCTGCAACCAGCCTCACTTCAGCTGCTGCTGCTGCTGTTCCTGTTCCCGACACTGCTGTTGCTGCCAATAACTTCTCCATATCCCCGTGCACAGCAGCAACTACCCCTTCATCCACGCCCTTTGCAGTGGTGGACGAGGTGACCCCTGGCAGCCCAGCAGAGGCGGATGGCGTGAAGCTGGGAGATAGGCTGGTCAGCTTTGGCTCTGTTGCTGCTGCTCAAATGGTGGAGGGTCGTGAGGGGGGAAGTGGAAGCAGGGTGCCTTCAGGGGCGGACCTGCTGAAGCACGTGGCTGCAGAGCTGCGGGGGAGTGAAGGGAGGGGGGTGAAAATGACGGTGGTGAGAGCAGGGAACGTTGTCGAGTTGGTGGTGACCCCGCGGCGATGGCACGGAAGAGGACTGCTCGGGTATGTGTTCTTATTGTTATGCATTGTTGTACACAATTGTAGGAGCTGTTTCTTAGGGGGCGTTTGTTTCTTCATGCATTCTTATCTCACACCTGTCTTACATGCATGCGATTCTTTCTTTATCCCCATGATCAGGTGCCACCTCTCCCCATTGTCTCGTGGAAGTTAAAATATGCTCGATTCAACAAGACCTAAATTTGGAGCATTATAAGTACAATATTGCACATTTATGGTTTAGACCACCCTCAAATCTGCCTCGATACGTTCAATATGCCATGTTTCTGTTCCATTGGAACAATTCTATAACGCGGAATTTCATTTTCGTCCAACGGTCATCCTCGCTGTGGCATACCACACCACCTTTACTCAGAGAGGATGCATCGAACCTGTTCCGACCGAACGACACGGACCGAGCTCAACCTCGAACGACCCCACGAAGCCAAAGCTCCAGCAGGCTGTTTGTTTGCTGCCACCAACCAACCAACCACCACCACCCCAGCGACTATTTCATGCAAGGCTCAACCATTGTCGCCCTCTTTGCTCCAGTGGAGCCGTGCCGTGCTGTGCCGTGCCCGTTTTAGGGTTTCCGTCCCTCCCCTGCGAGGGCCTCTCCCCCGTGAAAGGGTTTCGTTTTCGTCTCTCGCCCTCTCTGGGTTTCCACGAAGCACGTTCGGTGCTTTGGATTCCTCACTTCCTGCCTGTGCATTGCCTAGCCGGTTACCCGCGTCGTCGTCGCAGTTACTCCTTCCACGTGTCGCATTTCTTCTCGCCGATCGGACGAGCATGGCGGGGCCAGTGGTGAAGGAGGGAGCGCGGCTGTTCCAGGGCGTGGAAAAGGACTCTCTGGCGTTCAAGCTCATGAAGAACATGGTGCGTCTTGCCGAACGACAATAAGGGACATGCTGCGCGATAGTGAGGGATGCGGCCGCGTTTCAGGATAGCGAGCGCTGCGCGTTTGTCTCGCTAAGTGTCGGAGAAAGGTAGCTTGTCGGTTTTAATGGCATTGCTTCCGGTCGTGCGTGTTTCCAGGTCTCCGCAAAAGCGGCACTACTCACACCGTCTGGTGCCACGTTCTTTGCTCTGTTGGGCGGTTCGTTGCTTACCGTTGATTTCCGCTCTGGATTTTGATCGCAGGGCTGGGAGGAGGGCAAGGGACTGGGAAAGAACGGCCAGGGCATCGCCACTCACGTCCGAGTAACGAAGAAATTCGACCACTGCAGGTGCAGCGAGGGACAGATTCTAGTGGGAGGGAGTAAAACTTGGCTTGTTGACGCATGCCGTTTCGGTTCGCCATAGCCCCTCGTGCCTCGTCTCCCCTCTCTCCGTTGCCGGCCTACACACATTGCTGTGTGTGTCTGCTTTCTAGTGAACGTGGAAGGGTCAAAGAAGGATTTCCTCAAATGTGTGTCCTTTCCGTCCGTCCGTCGCGCTGATCTGTCGAAGCTTTTCCCCCCCAACCTTCCCCCCCCCCCCCCCCCCCCCCCCCTCCCTCTCCTTTCCCCCCTCCTCCCCGTTCCGCCCGCCGCCCCTCCTGTGTCGAATGTTTTTATCGGCCATTGCCAGGCGTTGGAATCGCGGAGGCTAAAAAGGAATCGTGCAACTGGTCCGTGAATACCGCCGTCTTCGACGACCTCCTCAAACGCCTAAATGTGGTACAATTTATTCTCTAACGCTTACCTTTTTAGACAGATTCCGATCGGGTTTGCGAATGATGGATGGTAGAGCGACTCAGGTCCGAGAATACCGCCGTGTTCGACGATCTCCTCAAACGCCTCAACGAGGAACGCTTTAATCGATCGCCCTTGCTTCTGGAATTAATTGAAGGGACCAGGTTTGCGATTTCCGCGGCTCAGCGCGTTTTTATTTTCCTGTTTATTCATATGTTTGCAATGTCCAGTTACCATTCGAGCGCCAGCACTGTGTGCTGCGCCACCTTAGGGTTGGTTTCGTGTCAAGCAGGAGTTTTTGTGTTCTCTGTTCGTCGTGTTTCTCCACCTCTCCTGTTATTCTCATCCCTTTCCGCTCCCCTTTCCTGCTTCGCCTCTCCTCTTTTCCTCCCTCCTCTCCGTTTCCGCTTTTTCTGCTTGGCTTTCCTCCTCCGCTTCCAGGCGGTCAACGACAAAAAGAGCCGCCGGCAACAAGCGTCTGATTCTTCCGCTTCCGACTCCTGTAAGTTCGTTTGCTTGATCGTTTGCTTGTGAGCTTTCGAAATTGACCGCATTCTCCTGTACGAGTCTTGTTGTGCGATTTCCGGTGTGGCATTTTATTTTCTTTCTCTCACTCACCTCTCTCCCCCCTCTATCCGCTCTCCGCTCTCCGCTCTCCTCTCTCCTCTCTCCTCTCTCCGCTCTCTGCTCTCCGCTCTCCTCTCTCCTCTCTCCTCTCTCTTCTCTGTGCCGCAGCGGATGAGGAGTCAGAAGGGAGCATGGGCAGGAATGGTGAGGAAGGGGGGGAGACGAAGAGAATCAAGAAGACCCAGAAGGGCAAGAAGGAGAAGAGGAAGCAGGCGGAAGCGGAGAAGGAGGGGGGAGAAGGAAGGGAAGGAGGGAGGCAGGCTCGCCGAAACGGCAGAGGCTGGTGCGGCCGCAGGGCAGGTGAGGGATGCGAAGCAGGGTGGGCGAAAGAGGTGGGCTTTTTTTGTGAAAGAGGTGGTGCTGGTTAGGGAGGTAAGAGGAGGATACGCTTGTAGCTCTCACCTGGCCT